TATCTTCCGTCCAATAAATTTTTGTTTTAATATTGAAATCTGAAAAATGAAAAACGGCACATATTTCGTTTTTCAATTATTCAAACAAAACGAAAAATCAAGAATCCGGCTTAATTTTTTGTTTTTACATTCAGGGATAGAAAACGAACAAACAACTTGAATATTCGATCTCTACATCTTTCATTCATTCGAATGAAACGCCCCTCTCTGCTAATTGGTCAACCAAACATTACAACATAATAATAGTCCTAAAAAAACCTTAATAATAGTCCAAGGCAGGAATTTTATTAAACTATGAGCTGCACAAGGGTAAAATGATAAAAAAAAGCATACTTGTGTATTTTTCTCAGTATTAATGTGTCTTAAAATATATGGCTGCCTTTATATTTTAGGATATGTGTCCTTTGCAAGAGGATCTTCATATTAGAGGATCCCTCACATCCAGAAGTTTGAAAAACCCCTGCCTTAATGTGCTTATATGCACCCTTAAGGTAACCATATGCATTATTTATGGGCTAAAAGTGTAATGTGTATGTTTGAAGGAACTGCCCCTGTGATAAGCTACAATTTTGTTTGTTTGTCTATAGTTTATCCATTATCCTCTATCACTTGATCCTAATTTGGCATCATTATAATTTGATGCTGCCCAGATTGGTAGAAAAGTAAACGAGTGTCTCTTTTAACATTCTGTTTACCACCAGCCTTATGTGAATAGTAATAGCACAATGCATTCAGTATTGAGGCCTTTTTTACACTGTGCTTGCAAAGCTGGACTGCAGATGCCATGCAAATAAGATGCATGAGTTTGGTGTGAAATACTGCATGCTAAAGTGGCAGAAGTGTTTAGTCAATTCGCCCACAGAGTTATAAAGAGAATATCAGAGCTGCCATGAGGGAATAGAGTGACTCAGTTCATTGAGCACAATACAGTGAATACAATTTGCAGAGTTTCGGCCCCATACCTAACCTAGTTTCTTTGATGGCTCATAAACAAAGACCAATCTTCAATCATTCTGACAGAAATACAGATTTTAATAGAGCCAGCAATAGAAAGAACCTTTAACTTTCTGCACCTCACTCCTCCAGACGTTTATATGTTTTTTCCCCCTTCTTTTGGATTCTTTCTTATTTCCTCCCAAACATAAGAAATAATTGTAAAATATCTGAGCTTAGTAAGCCAACGGGAGACCAAAATATATGTGTTTAGAGCAAAGTGAGAAAGAAAGTTAAACAAGAAAGTTAAAAAGATAAACGAGGCAATCATTAATGTGCAACTCTGAGATTTGGCTTTACTTATGCTAACAATTGCTAAATTTCCCTGCTGAAAAGACCAGCTTATCACCAATATACACTATGGATCTAAAGTTTGGGGTTATATAAACAAGTCTCTTATGCTCACCAAGACTGCATTTATTTGATCAAAAAAATTGTAAAACTCTATTATTGTGAAATATTATTATTAGCATTTAAAATAGCTGTTTTCCATTTTGAAAGAATCATTTAGCCAAAAATGTAATTTGCTGAACATTTACTCACCCTCAGGCTTTCCAAGATGTAGATGGGTTTGTTTCTTCATCAGAGCAGATTTGTAGAAATTTAGCATTACATCATTGCTCACCAATTGATAACCTGCGGTGAATGGGGGCCGTCAGAATGAGAGTCCAAACAGCTGATTAACACATCAACAAGTAATCCACACAACTCCAGTCCAACAATTAATGTTTTATAGAGTGAAAAGTGTGCTTGTAAGAAACAAATCCATCATTAAGATATTTTAACTTTTTTTTTAGTCACTTCTGCCTAAAATGCAAGTCCATAATCCATGATAACGCTTCCTCCAGTGAAAATGTCCTTCCTCTAGTTGTTCATTCACATCTAAAACATCTAGCATATATTTTTTAGAACTCTTTTGGACTGTATTCGCTTGTCAACTGTGCTTGATCTGTGCATATTTCTCTCCTGATTCAGACAAGACGTCTTTTTACTGGAGAAAGCAATACTATGGATAAAGGACTTGTATTTTATCTGCAAGCAATGGATTGAAGTTTAACAATTCTGGATTTGTTTGTTACAAACATGCAGCCTTTTGCTTCACAAGAAGTTAAATGATGGACTGAAGTTGTTTGGATTACTTGTGGATTATTGTGATGTTTTTATCAGCTGTTTGGACTCTCATTTTGACGGCACCCATTCACTGCAGATGATCCATTGGTGAGCAAGTGATGTAATGCTAAATTTCTCCATATTTGTTCTTATGGAGAAACAAATTAATCTACATCTTGGATGGACTGAGGGTGAGTCAATTCTTAGCACATTTTCAGTTTTGGTTGAACTATTCCTTTAATACATTTTAAAATGTAATTTATACCTGTGACAACAAAACTGTTTAATATGCCTGCAAGATATTACTGTATACTAGATCTGCAGATGTTTTATCAAAAGACTGGCGTGTGTTTTAACGAGAAACGCAGTAGCACATGTTTGTATGGTGTGGATATACTCTGTGTGTGTGGTCACGGATTCTACTGTGTTTAGTTAGTCATGGAGACAGCCGTCACCTTGGAAACTGTGCCAACCCTGACATCCCAGGTGAAGGGGAACTGCCATCACAATCAGCCATTGCCAAAATGAGTCAGAGGTGTTTGTATGTGAGGGCGCCAGAGGGGTCACGATCCTCTTGTATCCGCTCCAATCCACTGGAGTGACAGCAGAAGAAAGAGGAACTGACATCAGCCTTCCCCTTCAGCGTCGCTGTGAGGCCAGACTCGCTCTGGACACTCCCGGGTCCCTATTTACATGAGCTTTAAAAAACCCTGTCAGCTGTTGACTCATCTCTCGAGATCCTGGTGAAGTATTGGTGTGCCTTTGGTTTCTTTTCGCTGTCTTTGGCTGAGGTTGGACAGCTTGCTGGCCTGCAGAAGAATGCGCTTTATCTTAAGGGCCCTGACATATTGGCAACTTTTTGAAACTGTGCAGACAGGCAATGTAAGCTTGTGTCAGGTGAACAGGGGCTATTTTTAGTTCAGCAATCAATACATCATTGAAATCTACGTATCTGTGTAGTAGTGATGGTCTATGGTATATGCAACTCTTTTATATGACTCTAAATGACAATCATCAATGCACACATTCCCATTTTAATTACGTAAATTTGTTGAATGTGTAATTATTTATACACTTTCTGATTAACCATGATTAATTGCACATAACATTGTAACTTTTTGAAATTTAAAAGCCTTTACTGTCACTTTTGATCAATTTAATGCATCCTTGCTGAAAAATAGTTGGCCTATTTATTTATTTAAAAAATGGACTATGGTATATTGAACTCCGTTGAAGGTGAAGTTTTTTGATTAATCGTGATTAATTGAACATGACTTGTATAATCATAAATATATTTAGCTTTACATGTATATACATATACAATGAAACACTGAATCCCCAAATTAAAAAAAAAATGTTAAATTATTATTAAATAATTGTATTTTATTTCATTTAATTAAATTATTTTTTAAATAACTAATTTTAATGTTTTTTTTTCCTTTTGGAATTTCCACAGTTAAAATAACAATTTTCTATTTTAAAGTGCACCTATTATGGATTTTTTTGAAAATTACCTTTCATGCAGTGTGTAACACAGCTCTAA